ATGCAAATTTGTTGCTGTTCAGTAACGCGTGGTTTGGGGTTGCTAGTCTCTCAAAAGCCATCTGCAAACATTTTGTGCAAGGACCATGACTATTTATGACACCCTCCCCCTCCAAAGAGAGTGCGGTGGCCATTAATCTTCACGTCTTCATGGATATTCGGCAGAAAATGTCAAGTTTTACATTATGGAAGAGAACTTGATTCAATAAGATCACTTTGGATGGAAGCTGGGAACCTACTGGGGTATCCATGCAGACTCCTGATATTGCCATGGCTCTGGGGTGCCTGGAGGGCCCTGCTACCCCTCTGGGGTTACCCTACCTTTCAAGAGCCTCTTTGTCTCACGTCTCCACTATGAAAAAAACATCAAGAACAAAATCTTGATAGGTGATACGAATCTAGGGGAAATCAGTAGAGAATATTAGGAGCTCAAAGATTGGGCTGTATCTATTTCTCTCTAATTTTAAGTTTACTAATTTATATTTTGAATGCGCAAGGAACAAAAGACTGTAGCATGAAAGCCCCTTCCTGCCCCTGTTCCCATCCGCCCCTTTTTGGGGTCCTCTTCTGTTTTCTCCTGCTTGTGTCTCTCTAGAAGTGTTTTATTCATACACAAAGAAGTGCACATCTATGTTCATATGAAGGTATATGTGGGTGTATAAATGATGTGTGTTGTTCTTGTTATCTGTAATATATTTGCCTCTAGAGTATATTTGTCACCCAAACACACAGCATTGTTTTTGCCTCCTGTTCTGTACAAATGGCGGACACCACACGGGCTTCTCTGCAACTTGACTTTCCACTTAATGAATGTGAAGAGAGCAGTCCATTTCAGTAGATAATGATCTTCTTCACCCTTTTGTGCATCGTACATTTCATACACTCACTATTCATCTTACTCATCCAATATTGAGCTCCATCTAAGCTCTTTCTGAACTCTTATAAGCAATGTTGCCTTGAATAATCCTAAATACACTTTATTCTGTGGATACACTGCTTTCACTTCTCTGTAAGAGTTTGAGAGTAGAAATTGCTGGGGAAAAAAGTCTAGGTGTATTGTCATTTTCTTTTTCTGTGGTGATTTATATTTTAATCACTTTTTATCTAGGTGGGATGGGCTTGTACACACAATTCAATAGGGACAAAAGAAAATCAATCTGCTGCATAAGTTTTTCCCCTAGGCAACAGGGGAAAATATTTGCATCTGGTGTACATTTTCTTCCAGCATTTGATGCATATATAAATGTGGGCATGTACACATACATGTATAAATATGTCTGTGTGTTTGCATGTATATGTGGGTGTGCATTCACGTGTGCACATGCACGTTCACACATTTTCAGCATTTTACTGTATTGGTTCTGCAAGCTCTTAGCAGAATGCTGCATAATAGATGGTTCCCAGGCATCAATTTCACAGTTCACTTTGGAACTTGCCTCCTTACTCTCTCCTGTGGTCTCCTTCATTTTTATTTAAAGATAGTGAGGCTGGAGATAGGCAGTCTCAGTTGAGTTTGGTGGAATGATGATTTGAAAACATGTATTGCAGTTAAAAATACACATCTGATCAGTCCTTTATCATTAGTGTTGGGTGCAAAAATGTTCTCCCAGTCGGTGGGGTTTCTCTTTGTTTTTGTTATTGTCTCTTTTGCTGTGCAGAAGCTCTTTAATTTGATGTAGTCCCAGCTGTTTATCTTTGCCTTCACTATCACTGCTTTGGGTGATGTGTCTGTAAAGATGTCTTTGATGTGCAAATCACGTAGTGTTTCGCCTATATTTCCTTCTATATATTTTATGGTTTCAGGTCTTATGTCTAGTTCTTTAATCCATTTTGAGTTGATTTTTGTGTATGGTGTGAGGTAGTGGTCAAGCTTCATTCTTTTGCATGTAGCGACCCAGTTTTCCCAGCACCATTTGTTGAACAAACTTTCTTTGCTCCAATGCATAGTCTTTGCTCCTTTGTCAAAGATTAGTTGACCATCTGCAAAGAGCTGATGAGACTCAACAACAAAGAAAATAATCCCATCAAAAAATGGGCAGAAGAGCTAAACAGAAACTTCTCTGAAGAGGAAATGCAAATGGCCAACAGGCATATGAAAAAAATGTTCAACATCACTTGTAATCAGGGAAATGCAAATCAAAACTACCATGAGATACCATCTTACACCAGTGAGAATGGCACATATTAAAAAAACCTAGCAACAACAAATGTTGGTGAAGGTGTGGAGAAAAAGGAACTCTCCTGCACTGCTGGTGGGAGTGCAAACTGGTCCAACCACTATGGAGAGCTGTGTGGAGATTTCTGGACCTACTAAACATAGAGCTTCCATAGGATCCAGCAATTCCACTCCTAGGCATTTACCCCAAGGACACAGAAACATCAATTCCAAAGAGCACCTGCACCCCTATGTTTATAGCAGCACTATTTACAATAGCTAAGCTTTGGAAACAGCCCAAATGCCCAAAATTAGATGACTGGATCAAGAAGATGTGGTACATATATACCATGGAATATTACTCAGCATTCAAAAAAGATAAACACATGCAATTTGCAGCAACATGGATGGCGCTGGAAGGGATCATGCTCAGCGAAATAAGCCAAAAAGAAAAAGAAAAATACCGGATGGTCTCACTCATAGCAGGAATCTAGAAAACTTAAATAAGGGACCAGGAAAATGAGTAACTATAAGAAAGTGAAAATCAAAATCAACAAAAAACTATGAACCAGAGACACTTTTGGGGGGGTGGGGGGCAGGAGGGGAGGGATTGGGGTCAGAACTGGGGGGTTGCAATTGTATGGGGAATATAAAAATAAAAAAAAAATAAAAAAAATACATAATTTGCAAAAAAAAAAAAATACACATCTGTTTTGGCTTAGCAGTGCCACTATTAGGACACTTACCTAAACCCCACACTTGCACATGTTCACCAAGATCTGTGTAGAAGAATACTCATTGCCATGTCATTTTCAAAAGTAAACAGCAAACAGAGCTTGAAAAAATTAAGGTGTTTGTCAATATAGTACTGCATAAATAAATTATGACATATTGTGAAGACTGACTCTCGGACTAAAAAAAAAAAAATCATAAATAGGCAGCAGATAGGAATAGGCAAGTCTCTAAAGAGATAATGCAGAAGATCAAAAGATCTGTAAAGAAAGTTCCTCATCTCTTCCAGTGAGAGAGATGTGGGTTAAATCACAGTAAGATAACGTCTCACACCCCTGGGAAGGGCACATGTTAAAAAGATCCTCAACAAGTACTGGAGAGGACACGGAGACAGGGAAACCCCATTATACTGTTGGTAGGAATGCAAACTGGTGCAGTCTTTATGGAAAGTGATCTGGTTTCATGTTTAAAACTGGAAGCTCCCCAAAACCAACAATCCCATTCTTGGGCATCTATCCGAAGAACATGAAACCATTAACACACACAATGCGACATGCTCTGTATTTGTTGCAGCACCGTTGACAACAGCTTGGGCATGGAAACAGCATCAACAGACCATTGCATCAAGAAGACGTGTCTATCCACACCATGAAATACTGTTCAGCCAACACAAAGATGCAATGCATCCATTTACAGCAAAATGGAGGGTGCCTGAGGGAGTAATGTGTAGTAAGCAACTCTGAAAGACAAAACTACTTATTTACATCATGGATGATTTGACAAAGTAAAATACTTATAAAAATTAGTGGACATGAGGGCCTCCCTGGTGGCACAGTGGTTGAGCGCTGGGCTGCGAAGCTGCCCACAGCCTCTGCAGCACCGTTTCAATCCCCGGCCCCCGGCAAGGGTCCCACATGGTGCACAGACCTCTCCTGCCTCGCCCTCTGCTCCCCTCAGCAGTGTACTTCGTCAGTCTGCCTGTTCTGCTCCCCGCTCTGGCTCTGGTGAATTCTCTCACCCTCCCGTGCTTCTGACTGTACCCAGTGCTTGTATAAATAAATAAATAAAAATTAAAAAAAAAATTAGTGGACATGAATAAAGGCAGTGAATACACGGAGGCTGGGAGGGAGCAGAGAGGGCAAAAGGGATGAAGACATAGAAGAGATGGTGGTGAGAAAGGGGGAAAATGAGCTTAATGTACTAACAACAAAACCTTTTTTTAAAAAAAGGCAAGGTGTAAAACAATGCATAGGGTAGGAGCATATGCAGCTTGCAATGGTGTTGACCTTTGAGAGAGGCAATGGGTGGGTATGGAAAAAGTTACTTTTCATTTGGTGCTTTCTGTACTGTAAATGTATATTCATACACACACACATATATGAATTTTAAATGTCAATAAATGTCAAAGATAATATGACTTAAAGGAGAACTAATGAGCCAGTTTTATTTTGTTTTTTCTTTAACTTCCCCACATTAAGACATATATTTAAAATGAAAACAAAAGAATCACAAATGTGGGAGAAGGAAAGAGCTGCTGAATTTTTAGGGTGAGGCTGGTGGTAACCCCACAGTGGTGTTCTGGGTCTTTCTCTGGATTGGCTGCATCAGCAGCACACACAGAGCTCAGGACTCAGTCCCTGCAGTTTCTGGTTCAACAGGGCCAAGATGGAGCTCTGTGTACATGAAAGACACACTCCATGGTGACAAGCTCCAGGTGCACAGCCTCCTGTGGGAACCAGCAGTCATGTCAAGTGCTATGGCTCCACCCACTCACAATGTGACTTTCAGTACTGGAGGTGGATGCTAAGTTACCACATTTTATCACATAGTCCAACTTATTTAATTATCCTGGTGTATTTGAGGAACAGTGCAGTATAGGAAAGACCATGTGTGTTTTGAAGCCAGAATAATCTGGGTTTGCACTTTGGCCCTTTCCAGTAGACACTGCCTAACACTAGGAAACATCTAACCTCCGAGCTCTTGGACTTGGCCAACAAGGCTAGGAGAGGTCTGGAGCTACTGCAGGCAAAACACAAGACAAACTATGTGCGACATAGGAAGGCTCAGTAGGTTGTGGCTGTTGTTATTTATCAAGGCAGACACAACACCACTTGTTCACCATTTTATTATTTTCAATGCTAGCATGTAACAGGTGTAGCATGTAACAGCTGTGATTCAAGTCAACTCAGTAGAAGATCACTGGAGAAAGGGTGATTTCCAGGCAGACCAGAGACTCGGAAGCAGCTCTGCTCTCCTAGAGAGACTCCCAGGAAAGCTACCTGCCAGGCTCTTAGAGGACTTTTAATGACAACCATCTCCTATGATTACAGCAGCACATGGCCCCTGGTTGTGAGAAATTGGTACTCAGTCACAGCGTCTAGACATTAGAGAGGAAAACACAGTGAATACCATTTTGCTCACCTCCTGCTTAGGAACTGGGTTCGGGGGCACTGAACGCATCTTGGAAACTTAGCTTTAAAAAAAAAAAAAAAAACTCCAAGGACTGTGTCATGATACTGGATATAGAGTATTAGGAGAGTATTAGAGCTATAGGAGACCTCAGGGACTATCTATTATTACTTCATTCATGAATTTATGCATCTGACACATTTGACTCCCAATAATTTAGCATCTACCATAAACCAGGTAACTGTGCTAGTCACGTTCGGTCTGTAATCTCTGAGCCTTCAGCAACCATCAAAAGAGATCTAGTTTCTGTTTCACATTCCACTGCAATTTGGAGTTTAAGGAAACTGCTTGGGGGCATCATTCACTGAGGATGGAGTGGGTTTGAGGTCTGGAGGCAAAACTGGAACACCAAAGAAAGAACACTGGAGAAAGGGTGATTTCCATAAACTCTTGCTCGACTCCATTAAGTATCTTCGTGCCAGAACTCTGCAGTCTGCGCCCGCCAAATGAGACAGTGAGGTAACTAGCAAGACTTGCCCAGGAGAAGCTCTTGATCTGGATCTGCCCCTGGAGAGCTGGGGGACTTGGGTCAGCCCCTATATAAGCTGCCTTGGCTGTAGGGTTTTCAAGGAAGTGGGCCCCCAACCCCCAGAACTAAGGCAGTGGAATCTAAAGGCTACCAGGAGCCTAGGGGTGTGCTATTGGCCCTCACTGGAGGTCCCTTCTTGCTCTCAATAAAATATTACTTTTTATTTACCTTTTATGCATTTTATTGTTGTTACTTCTGCCAGAGGAACAAACTCTGAGGAGCAAACTCTGAGTCAGTGAATCGTGTCCTGAATGGACCCACCCCCACTTCTACCCCAAGGACTACAACTCCCAGCATACCATGAACCTAGCTGCCCGAGTGGGGCGAGGAAGTCCAGGGAAGAAAGGATGCACTTCAACAGCCACGCCAGGTTTAAAACTGAAGAGGTATGTGTGTGCTCTCAACTTCTTGATTTTTCTGGCTTCAAACTGCACCCTAGTATCTTAAGTCAGATGGTGTTACTGGCAGGATGGACTTGTTGGCTAATTAATCTTCTCTCTCTGATTTCTCTCTTCTCCTGCGTCCTGTGAAGAGGCCATTTTCCTCTCTGCATGTCTCCTTTGAGCTCTTGTCCTGAGTTCTTAAACACACTGGGCAGGACTCACAACCCAGGTCACCCCATTCCCCCAGGGGTCCCCTGTAACATTTCCACAGTCCATTGCCTCAGATGTGAAACACACCCTTTGTTTCTTTGAAATTTTCCCCTTGAAAGACCATGGGCAGGAAGTATGATTTGCACGTGTAACAGATATGGCAGATTCTTCTCTGCAACCTAGAGTTTTTTAGCTCTCCACCCCTGGCCGCGCCCCCTGCATGGTAACTGAAAAATAAAATGTGAAGAACAATTGGACACAGGGTTCATTAGATAATCAAAGTGAGGACCAAACTCAGGAAGCAGCCCCGCAGATTTTATTCTGTGAGAACTGCTCTGAGTAAGAAGAAGTTGGAATTTAGTTTATATAGCCAGAAACAGTGATTCATCAAAACCAAGAAACATAACTATTATTAATAGGAGGGGCTCTGGCTCTATATTGCCTGGATCCAAACATGGTGCCAGAGAAAGGTGACCCAGGGTGCAGTCTCTTCCCCTCCAAAGAATACCCCCCAGAAATGCAAAGACTGGACGCCCTCGGTTAAATCGTTCTTATCTGAACAGACTGATTCAGACATCTGGGCAGTAGAATTTGGGGTACAAGATGGAGCTGTGAAGAGTGCGTGTTAGTTTGCCCTCCAGACGAGGACAGGATCCCCTAAAAAATTTACATGCTGCGTTGGATCTAGAATTTGGCGGGGAAGTCCTTCAGCACCCTGAAGTCCCCCCAAAGTGAAAATTCAGGGAGACCCCTGAATCTTTCTGCACGGGGGGCTTGGTGCTGAGGGTGGAATGAAGAGTAGAGGCTGAGAGGGGGCAGAGGCCCGCTTGGAGGGCCTCAAATATCCAAGCTTGACTCCCCCCCTAAAAAGCACAGAGCCACAGGGGTCCCACGCAGTGACCCTGCTCCCCAGCCCTGGAGGGTCACTCTGGAGTCCACAGCAGGCAGGCCCCGCCCTCCGCGGGATGCGCCTGCAGCAGGCCGGCTTCAGGGGCCTCCTCGGCCGGGCCATGAGGACTCCGGAGGCGGGCACCGAACACCCAGAGGGCAACACAGTCAAAGGTAAGGCGGGTTGCAACTCAAGGCCCAGGTCTGGGGGGGTCTGCGGAGAGATGTTTTACGCAGGGAGTCTTGCTGTCCACTCTCCCAAAGGGACACATCGCCCCCGGGGATCCCGCACCCTGCGCTCTGGCTCTTTCTGTGGGTGCTTCTTCACCCCATTGCTGCAGCCCCGCAGGCCCCAGGCCACGTCTGCGACCCCACCTTCCTCCCCTCTCAGGCCGGGCCCGCGGGGTGAGGCGCCCCATCTGTGTCACTTGGGCCTCTGCAGGCCGAACAGCCGGCTCCTGTCTCCAGGTTTAATGAGGAAAGCCACGTCAGGAAGGCTGGGGCCTGGGGCTGGGGTTTTATGGAGGTTCTGGGCCAAATGGCTTAGCAGGAATTCAACCAGCACTGCCCCCTCCCCCGGGAGCTGCAAAATGGAAACAGCACCAGTGAACAGGAGAGCAATTTCCCCAGCAGGAGACAGGGAGCTTTTAATGAGCTGCACTGAGCCTGCCCAGTTCCTCCCTGGCCCCCCAGTCTGGCTAATTAGATGGCCGGCTGGGCCGCCAGGGCCGGTGATGGCCCAGAGGCAGCAGAGGCTGGGAGGCCGGGGCTGGGGGCAGAGCTGAGTCTGAGCCGGTGGCAGCGATGAGTCACCTAGATGGGACCTGGCAGAGGGAAGTCTGCGCTTCCTTTGCAGCCTCTTCTCCTTCCTCCTTCCTTCCTCAAGTCATGCCTCAAGCCCCCTGTGCAGAGTTTCGAGTTTTTCAAAGAAGGGAGGAGCAGTCCAATGAAGCGCGCAGATTTCCTTGGAGGACCAGGGGAAATACCATCCCACGTGTTACCCATTCCCGTGTCCCTCCTTCTCAAAACTCATTGACCTAGTTAGAGTCTGCGCTAGAGTTCAGGATACAGAGTGACCTTGTTTCACACTCAGGAGAGAGAAAACCCAAGTCCAGAGAGAATGATGACATTATTAGGAAGGTGACCGCGTGCGGGCTGCAGAGACAGGCTGACGCGCCGAGGTGAAGTGGAGGTTGGTGAGGAGGAGGGCGATGGACTGGGTTTTAGACAATAGATTGGTTTTTTATTAAACATCATAACCCAAATCAAAATTGCAAGATCAGTGAGAATTAGTGAATCCAAAGGACGGAAAGGACATGTCATAGAATTGGAATGATGTGAGCCAAGGCTCCATGTTTGAAAATCTGCTGCGTGTGAGGAACTGTGGGGGTGTCAGAATGACCGGGTGGAGGGTTGCTGACCTGAGGCCCAGGTGAGCGCCGTCTCCACATCCTGCTCTCACCATCACCAAGGGCTTGGGAGAGGAAGGACCTGCTTACTCCTCACCCGGCAGCCACGCTGGCAACAGGGCCGCTGCAGGGCACTGGCCCAGCCTCACATCACAAGCACAGACACCTGTTCTCACACCTGCGCAGGCAAACACGCCGTGCACACACCACACACATGCACGCACGTGCATATTTGTGACACATCAACAGACCGACACTGGCTGGAGCAAGATGAAATCATCAAAAACTGCCATGAACCAAAGCGCAGAGCCCGAGAAAGCGTGCTAGCATACATTACAAACTTGGTAAATGTTTTAGGGTTTGGATCTAACATTAATTCTCTACCATAATGAGACCAGCAAATTGAAATGTTTTGAAGTGGTGATTGCATTGAAACTTATATTTAAAAATACCTGTGTTTTTTCTCTGTATTTGTTGATGGACTAGAGGGTGAGAAAGCAGAGATAAAAAGGCATCAGCCACCGAGCCTGGTGACAGACAATCCTCCAAACAAATAAGCCAATACGGGTTAGAATTGCCGTCACTGATGCTTAGAATTGCCGTCACTGATGCTTCTGGAAGAAATAATGGAAGAGGGAGTTGGCAGCCTTAACCTGAAGTCCAAGGGTTTTGGGAGAGAAAGAGTAAGTGGAGCGAGTTTTGAAAGGTGACCTAGTGCTCCATGGAGGCTGTCAACACACACAGTAGTGCAACACATACACACAGGTGAGCACACGGGAGTGCACACACGGAGGAGTGCACACACTTAGGTGCACACAGGAGTGCACACACATACACAAAGGTGCATACACGCAGGAATGCACACACAAAGGAACACACACAGGAGTGCACGCGCGTGCACATAGGACACACACACAGAAGCATGCACACACAGAGGAGTGTGCACACATACAGGTGCACACACTGGTGCACACACACAGGGATTCACACATACAGATGCAGACTGCACTGATTTATGACTTAATATGCATGGACTGTACTTTTAACAAATAAAAGTATCTCTAAATGAATTAGTTTCTCTGGAGATGTGCAAGAGTTATGCCAGAGAAAATATTGGATATGTAATGCTTGATTCAATGTAATTGATTCACTCAACAAACAATATTCATTGACATTTTCTGATTTCACACTCCCCAGCTAATTAGAGTTTCTCCTAGACTTGGGCAAGAGAAGTGTTGCTGTAACATAGAACAATAATTTCCATTTGTCTCTTCTTAATGATTCCATTTTGGATTCATTGTCTTTAAAAGGAAAAAGAAATGGACTTGTATTTGCAAGAGTTGGGTTTCTATCTGTTTCTGATTGTGTTTCACTGGATAATTACCTGAGACTCAGTTTCCTACCTATGAGACGGGAAGAAAAATTAAATTAATAAAATATTAAAGATAAGAAAAGGTGCCAGCCACATAGCTGGAGGTGGATGCAATGGTGGAGCAATTTTGACCCCCATGTTAATACAACCTGCTGGGGACCAAGTGACTTTTACTATTTCCAGATATCAAATCCACAAATTACTTTATAGTTATGAAGATTTACTGTTTAAGAATATTCAGAACAGTGTGTTCATTCTCTGACATTAAATGAATACCAAAATGTGGAGTCTCATATCCATTTTTGGGTCTTAACACTTTGAAGTGAGGCATGAGAACATAGAGTTTCAAATATAATTTGGCTGAATCTTGGGTCCAGAGTTTAATAACTATGTAGGCTTGGACAAGTCAGTGAGCTTGTCAGGTCTTGTACTCTCTTAAATATGTGATAAATGGTAGAATTAATGGGAAATCAAATTAGTGATTAGAAATGTATAGTAGCTATTACAACAGTAGTCACTATATTTGCATCAATTTTCCTGATCTTTAAGTAAAGAAATGAGAAGCTCATACCTTTACACTACCTGCATAGGGCAGGTCCTTCTCCAGGGCTTCACATTCTAGAATCTTCTCTCTGGTTCTCAAGCAACAATTCCCCCAAAGGGGCAAGGAATCTCTACCTTACCTTCCATCCTTTATTTAAGAAACTATGGCCACCTTACCCAAGTTGCCCAGAGCTCTCTTCTAGGGCTGTCACCAGTGTCTTCCCTGGCTCACATGGCCACAGAATGGCTGTACCCACTGGTGAGGTTGTCCTTGGATGTCATGAATAGTCAAGAGTTGGCAGTTGGAAGACAGTGTGGACTGGACACGGGTTGGATGGCATCAATGGTGAGGATATTCTCTAGTCTCCCAGGTCAGCGTGAGATGTGGGAAGGTCATTCTCGATGTAGGAAGTTTTCTCTTTAAACATGCACTGTTCTACTGAATGCTTGCTTAGCTTGTTTTATGACTTTAAAATATCAAGTTATAGGGCATGTGGTCCTCATGTAAAGATATTTGCGACCGTTAGGGGAGGTTGCTCTTTCCAGTGAACTCTGAGTGTCTACTTTCTGTCTTTCGATCAGGAGGAATCAAGACCCTTTGTACCTCCTTCCTTTCTTTTCTTCTTTTTTATTTCTGATGGGGATTATGGGGGAAAGGGTTGAAGAGAAGGTCAATGGAAATTCAAGGAAGTTCTTGGAATACTTAATAGACAGGTGGAAACATCCTTCTGATATTTTTAAACTACTTACATTTCTCCAAGAATTGCTTGGATTTTATGACATATAGAAAAAGAAAGATTTATGAGCATTTCCAAAAGAACTATTTCCTCTTGTGCTAAGTGTCCTCAAATAAACATGTATTTTAAGAGTCAAATAATTACACAAAATATCCTCTACTTTGATATCAGATTTATCTTCCAGAATCACAATATGATAATGTTGGTCTCCTTTTCAAGATCCTTTTGCTGTTTTCCAAGTCAAGTGGGTAAAGTCAAGGTATTTCAGGACTCACTGTGCAGATCAGGCTTCACCGCCGGGGTGCACCTCCATCCACTGGTGGCACGTGCAGTTGTAATCAGGACCACATTCATCTGCTCCCCACCTCTGATGTGTTTCCCCTGTTTGCACATTCCAGTCTGTCTTTCTAGCACAAGTGTTCTCCGTCTGGGCATCCATGGATTTCCCCATAAATCTTCAGAGGGCACTTAAATGAGGACATTTTCCTTGTTTTTTTTCAATCAGACAGACATCACTTTATTATTTCCTCCTATGATGAATGCAGCAGCCCACCTCACCAGTCACATTAGTAGAGACTTGTAAAGTTGCCACTAACAGTACAGTTTTTTTCAAATCACAAGTAGAGTTATCTTGAAATGATGTTTATGTTACCCTAGTTTGAAAGCTTGGTAATCACTACAAAACTGCTAGAATAACAGAATAACTACTTAATAAGATTGGGCCTCCCATGGTGGCTCAGGCGGTTGAGCAACGCACTGTGAAGCTGTCCACAGCCTTTGCAGTGCCGGTTCGATCCCTGCCGGCCTTGGAGCAACCCACATGGCCAAGAGACCTCTCCTCTCGCCCACTGTTACCCTCAGCAGTGTATTTCGTTGGTCTGCCTTTTCTGTTCCCTGCTCTGTCTGTCTGTGGTGAATCCTCTCACCCTCCCACACATCTGGCCTATACCCCAGCTCTTGTATAAATAAAATAAATCTTAAAAAAAAATAAGATCTAGGTTACTATTTTCAATATTTAAAAATCATATTTCAGTATTGCATTTTGAACTCTATCATTGGTTTTATGTATTTGATTTTATGCAATTAATATCACATCATGTTTTCATGCTTAAACATCTTCACCCAGGAAAGGAGAGGATAGCTTTCGCTAGACTGTTGAAGAGGCTCACACCGTGAAAAGGTTAAGGGGGATGTGAACTCAGAGACTTTCCCTTCTTCACTCAGGAAACCTTTACTCATCCTTTAAAGACCCATTCAAAGAGTAGTCTTCCAGAGTCTTCTGTAATTTTAGTTGGTGTACAAAAGTCACTCTTCTAGGATCTGCACCACAGACTCACGTCTGTGATAGACTTTATACCAGGCCTGATGGCCAATTCCATGTCTGTCTGGAGGGTGCTCTTGTCAGCCACCCAGGCCTTTTTCATCTCAATTCATTCTTAGTGATTGGTATAGTTCCTGGGTCGTGCTTGTGCTGAACATAATATTTGGTGACTCATTAGAATGAATGAGTGGACACTGTTGAATCATTTGGACCAGAAAGTCTGGATCAGCTAATTTTCTGAAACTAGAAGTGAGGCCCAGGTGATTTTGCTGGGCTTTCTGTTACTGTAATAGTGTGAAAGTGACAATTATTTGACTGTTTCAGAATCTCTTGATTCTCATGGTTTGACACATAGCTGAAATATTACACCAGATTAAAGACTCAGCCATCTATGCTTTTTGAAAAACTAGAGGAATGTTCTATCGAAAGGGACTCCCCTCTGTCATCTGGCTTAGCATTGTATCCATAACATATTGTTGGGCCTTCGATACATTACGTTTGTGTATAAATTGTTCTTTCTGTTGGTGTGTGTATGCATGTGTGTATGAAAGAAACCCATACTTATATCCATTTTTAGAGATACCTTCCTATATCACACAATAGCTTATATATTAATGTGTGCATGCCTTCAGGGAGTAATTTATATTTAAGAAATATTTAATTGCAAAATATTTGACATTTTAAGTTACATTTAGCTGCAAAATCATTGAACAACACATTGTGCCTATAGATGACATTATTTTATTTTGATAATTCAAGTGCCTGGATGATATTTGGTTGTATTATTGGTCAAGGTTGATGATTTTTTTTCAGGAATGTCTGTTACCCTGTAGTCTTCCCTAATTTAGGCAGCTGGTTATCTTACAGCAGAGTGCAGAGAAGTAATGGGACAGATCTAGGTGAGAGAGACAACAGAAAAGAGACAATGTGTTTAACTAGTCAGATAAAATTTGTCATCACAGTTACTAGACAATTAGATAAATAATTAGATATAAGTTGCAACAATTAGATAAATTTGCCTACCTGGAGATAAGGGAAGGCACAATATAGGGGTGAGAGCAGAGGAGCTGGCCTCTGGGGTTGGTTGGGGGTAGATGAAGAACCTCCCAGAGAGGATGGAGGGTCTGAGGCCGGGAAGAGGGTCAGCTCAGGGTGTTCCTTGTGAAGGAGGTGACATGAGGAAGACCATCAGGCAGGGCTAATTAGACAGAAAGCCTTAGGCCAATATTACAGGATCCACTTGCCCAGAGGGACACATATTTACCATGGCGTGAGGATAGTTCAGATAGGACCCCAAAGCAGATGACTTCGGGACACTGACTGGATGACACAGAGCCACAGACACTGGGTAGTGGCCAGTGGCATCAGTGAGGGGACACTCCATCCAACCCCATCCATTGACAAGGGCTTCAGGTGGGGAATATGTCCTAGAACTTAGAAAGAGCACCAGGAGGAGGGTAGGGGAGCTGCTGAGCACCCCTGGCTTAAATTTCCATTCCCTGGTAGAATGGGGGTGTGTAATGCCTCAGGAGTTCAGATACAGGAGGATAAATTGCATTTGTCTCACCCTTGAATTTTTGAACTTGTTGCTTTTGCTTTATCTAGAGGATATATTTTTATTTTAAATGTCTTCTTATTTTGCTTCTGTGCACACCTTCCCAAACCACCTCTTTACCGTCATAATATAATTCCACTTATATGGTAAATTTTTTCATCTTCTATCATCATTCATTTTCCATTTAAATATGAAAAAAGCTTGAACTAAATTATATATGACGTTCTTTCAGTGATAGCAGTCTAGGATCTTGATTCCCTAAATCAGGATTTTATAACCTCAATGTAAATATACATAATTTATATCTTCCATCGAGACCAGGATAGTCGAAAGATTCATATAAACCTCACTCAAACTAAGTTACCGAATTCCAACTACAGCCACAAGCACTGCACATACGTACCACTTCAAGTAAAATCTGAAAATAAAATGCGAACTCCCTAGCATACTTGTCCTCTCTGTCTTCTTTTCCTGCACCCTCTGCTCAATCACTGGCCTTTCTGTTCCATGCACAGCCACACTAGTCCCTGCTGGGCTTCTCGTTCGAATTAGTTTCACTGTCCAGAGTGTTGTACCCTCGATGTGCATGATTGGCTTCTGCTCATCTTTGAGATCTCAGAACAAATATCATTGCTTCAGCAAGATCACCCTAAGCCACTTGGGCTCACCTACTCATCCCCCAACTGGGGTCTCTATCACGGTCCCCAGAGAGCTAAGTGGCCTGGGCATTGTCAAGAGCTCCAGGCCATGGAGGTGGGCGTGACCAGACTTCTGCCCATAGATTCCTCCTGAGTGCCAGAGGAATTTCACGTTGTGTTAGCAGAAGTGGTATTGAGTAGACCCACCTTTCGGTTCAGAGGAAGTGTGCTTTGCCCCTCTATTTTGTCCATCCACAGGGGACATTTTTTTTCCTAATTCATACAATGGTATCTTGAGACCTACTGCATATTATTTGATATTTTCTCGTTTGGCTTGCTTATTTATTTGCCCCCTCCTATTTTACTTACTTGTCATCTACTTGCACCCACTTGAATGTAAATCCCATGAGGATGATGACCTGACTGAGTCTCAGGTTCACCTTTGGCCCAAGATTAGAATATTGCATGACACATGTTAATTGTTCAACAAATATTTATTGGATAGTTAATAGGAAATCATCTCTTCATAATTTAAAGCAGTGTTACAAGCTGTGAAGCTCTAAGCAGTGTCCAGTGATTCTTGGGCCCTCCATATAGCCCTCAAATGCATCTTTCTGTATGTCCATTTGTGTGTTTTTAGCAGTTCTTTATTATTTAGATATGTTGGGACTGTCCTGTTCTTTCTGCCCCATCACGATACTCGAAGAAGTCTGATCTTTTCAGAATAAATACTGCATTTTCCATGTAAGCTTCTTAGCTTTTGTTTTGAAACATCTCCCTTACTCTCCAGTACTTGCCAGAAAGGTCCTTTAGCACTTGGGAAATGACTAGCAAAAT